GTCGTCGTCTTGTCGTCGTCGTCGTCGTTTCCGTCGTTGTTGTCGCCGTGGTCGTTGTTTCCTCTTCCCTCGACGTCGTCGTCCGTCGTCGGCGTCTCGTCGTCGACCCTCCTATTTCGTCGCCGTAGTCGTCGTCGTCGTCGTCTTCCCTCCTCCCTCGTCGTTGTCGTCGTCGACGTCGCCGTCCTCCCTCCTTCTTCGTCGTTCGCGTCGTCGCCGTCCTCCCTCCTCCCTCGTCGTTGTCGTCGTTGTCGCCGTCGTCGTCCTCCCTCCTGAGCCCTGTGTGTCCGTGTCCTCCGCCCTCTCGCTTCCTCCCTCCTGCCTTATCCTGCCTGTCTGCTTCTTACCTCGGATTCCTCGTGGTTGCCAACTGCGCACCTGTTGCAACGTCCACGAGTTCTTGGGAGGTCCAGCGGGGTGCGGTCCCCAGCGGGTCAAGGCGGAGCCTCGCCTTCGGCACCTTTGCCGCTGGGTGCCCTCGGGGCGTCCCAGGAAAACAGGCGGGTTGGCAGCCCGATCGTCACCACAGCTCGACGGGGCTGTGGGTGAGACTCTTGCCCTGCGGTTGGCCAGCCACAGTAGGTGCGGGCCCGCCGTACCACCCTTGAGAGGCCCGATGGGGTTACTCGAAGGGGTCCCCCGACGTGGGGGGCGCGGGAACTGAAGTCCTTGGGCAGCGGGGTCTCCGCTGCTTGAGGCCGGCGGCCAAGTGGGAGTTGTGCCGGTGGCCGTGTCTCGGGGTGGCATCTCGAGACGCTTTGCAACGGCGGCACACATGTGACGCCTGGGGCGGGTCTGTGCCGCCGGTCATGCTGCGAGGTTCGACTGCATGTGAATTCACGCAGGCACCTTGGGCACCTCCCTTCGGGTTGTGTCGCCCAGGGGTTCTGTCCGGGTACATAAAAGGAGCCTCGCCTTCCCTCGGGGCTGCCAGACGCGCATCGTCGCCGCTCTCGTGGGCTCCTGGCAGGGTAAGTGGAGTGCGGTCCGACGCCCTCCTTTCCGGGGGCTGCCAATTGAATAACCGTCGTCAGTTTCCTGAGGTCCCGCGGGTCCAGCGGGGTGCGGTGCTACGCGGACCCAAGTGAGACCTCGCCTTCCTTGGGGTCTGCCAGGCAAATGTAGCCATTTTGTGAGCTCCTGGTGGGTTCCAGCGTTGTGCGGTCCCTCGCGAACCCACGTGGGACCTTGCCATTCCTGGGCGCCGCAAACTGCGCATCAGCCGCCATTTTCGTGGAGGTCCAATGGGGTGCGGCCATATGTGGGTCTGAAAAGGACCTCGCTCTCCCTTGCGGCTGCCAACCGGTCAACCGTCGTCACTTTTGTAAGGGTCCAGCGTTGCGAGGTCTTTTGCGGACCCAAGTGAGACTGTGCCACGTCCGGCCCCCGCAAACTGCACATCTGTCGCCACTTTCGTAGGCTCCTGGGAGGTCCAGTAGGGTGCGGTCGTGTGTGGGTCTGAAGGAGACCTCGCCCGCCCTGTCGGCTGCCAACTGGTCAACTTTCGTGAGTTCCTGGGAGGTCCAGCGGGGTGCGGTGCCATGCGGGCGCACATGAGATCTCGCCTTCCCCGAGGGCTGCCAACTGCATAGCCGTTGCCACTTTTGCTCGCTCCTAGGGGCTCTGGCGGAGTGCGGTACCATGCGGGTCTAATCTCACCCTCCCTGGGGGCTATTCATCGCGAAACTGTAGTCACTTTCGTGCGTTCGTGGGGGGTCCTGAGGAGTGCGGTCCAACGCACGTCTAGAGGAAACCTCGCCCTCTTGTGGGGCTGCCAATTCCGCAGCTCTTGTTACTTTCGTGCTCCTGGGGGGTCCAGCCCAGTGCGGTCCAACGCGGGTTCAAATCAGACCTCGCCCTCCATGAGGGCCGTCTGCGCATAAGACCTCGCCGTCCCTCAGGGCTGCAAATCATCTGTCGCCATTTTTGTTTTGTCTTGGGAGGTTCTTCGGAGTGCGGTCCTATGTGGCTCTGAACGAGGCCTCGCCCTTCCTCGGGGCCGCCAGTTGCGCACGTGTCGTCGCTTTCGTGAGCGCATGGGAGGCCCAGCGAGGTGCGGTGCTATGCGGGCCCAAGTGAGACCTCGCCCTCGCCTTCCCTCGGGGCTGCCACGTGCGCCATTGTCGTCGTTTTCGTGGACTCCTGGTTGGTTCCAGCGTCGTGCCATCCCATGCGGTCCCACGTAAGACCTCACCATGCCTCGGCGCTGCGAAATAAGTGTCTTCCCTCGCTGTCGTGAGCTCCCCGGGGAGGCCCCGCGGAGCGCCGTCTGATGCGCACCCACACGGCATGCACGCTCTCTGCCTGGGCGCTGCGAGTGGCCAGGCTGTTGCCGCTTCCGCGAGCTCCTTTGGGAGCCGGCGGAACGACCTGTAAATGGGGGAGGGAAACGGGACCTCGCTCTCCCTGGGAGGAGCCGGCTACAGTCGGCCCCGATGAATGGGTCGACCCTGCTAGATCGAGGGTACCCTTGTGTCCTGTGTCTCGCGGCCCATGCCTCCTAAGCACCTGTGGTAATGTGACCCTCGTGAGGGTCTTGTGCCCTCGCGTGTCCTGTCCAATCAAGTCCGACTGTACGCGGCTGTCGTCACTATCGTGAGCCAGCAGGGGTCCAGCGGGCGCTGACACCCGTGCAGCGGTCGTTCCTGTGGGGTCCAGCGGGGTGGCGTCCCAGGCTGGCTCGCCTAGATGGTGTCGCCAGACATCTCGGGTGGGTCGAGTGACGTTCCTGGGCAGTTCACTCGGAGCGCATGTCTTCCTTCATAATGCGTTCCCGCCGCAGCGTTTGCGGTATTTCAGGATCGGATGTGTTGCTCCTGTCGTCGTTCAGAATGGCGCTCGCGCTCCAGCACTGACCACACCACGTTTCTAGATTCGAGTATTCCCCCGTCGTCGCCGTCTCCCTCCTTTCCCCTCCCCCGCCTTCTTCTGCTCCTCGGGTTCCTCGTGGCCCCCAATTTTCGTCCTGCACGAAACAAACATTACCGTCTTCCTCATGCTCTTCGTCCTCCTCCTGCTCTTCCTCCAGTATACGTAAGCCTTCCTCTCCTGTTGTTGAACAAACGACGACTCAAATCTTGCTGCTGCCGTTTGGGGATCAATATCCTTTATGACCACAGCTGGCGTATATAGCATCATTCAGTGCAATGGGAAGGGATGGTTGGTAGCGGCAAGATGTGAGATGGGGCGTAAGTACACACGGTTTGTCCTTCTTCCTGTCTCCTTGATCCTCTTCCTTCCTATCATCATTGGGGAAGGGGGGGACGATTGGGAAGGGGGGGGAGGGAGATGGAAACGACGAGGAGAGGAATGAGGGAGATGCAGGGTAATGAGGGAGGGATGGAGGACGAGTGGGAGTAGGAGAATGGGTACTCGGGAGCGGACAAGTAGAGGTGGGGGGAGGCGGGCTGCAGAAGGGGAATAAGATGGAGGCTGGAACAGTGATAAGGAGAGCTGGAAGACATAGGAGGATTGGTCGAGAACACCAGCTGGAGTGCTGGATACCACATCCAGAGGTTGGCGTCTAAGAGGTGGATGTTGGTGATGGTTTGGTTGTGATGAGGAGGAGGACGAGGAGGAGGAACATGCCGAGGGGGAGGAGGCGGAGGAGAAGAAGACCAGGAATAGGAGCAGGTGAAGCAGAAAGAAGAGAAGCAGCGGTAGGGGCGGGAGCCAGAGCAGAAGTGATGCTGCGAGGCTCGAGCGAGCTTGCGAGCACTGCCCACTCCCGCCCACGCCCCACGGCGTTAGAGCTAGCCCCCATAAAAATTTGAATCGATGTGGCCCGACATCCTTCCCTCCCAGAGCACAGACATGACAACAACAGGCACGAACAGGCACTCGCCGGGCCCCACCTCGGCCGTGCGCGCCGAAGCTTCGGTTCGGATGTATATATGTATATATATATGAACTTATATATATATATGTATATTTATATATATATATGTGTATATATATGCACATGTGTATATATATTTATATTTACAAGCATTACATATCTACATGTACATACAGAAAGAGGGAGAGAGAGAGATAACAACATAAAGAGAAAGAGATAACACAAACTGAACTATGAGAAAGAGAGACGGCACGCGAGTTACCAGGCACGGAAGCACTGGGTGCCTCCAGCACTCAGAGGAGGGTCAGTTGAGCTATCGGTAGCCCTCCTCCGCCACTGTGCCCTTTTCCGGCGCATGATGTGGCCACGGGTCGGGCATGGCAGGGCTCTGCGGAGTCGGGTGGGCGAGCGGCACGGCCTCAGGAGCGGGGTACACCCGGAGTTCGCCCACGAACGGCGCAGCTAGCTCCCAGCAGGTTTGCACTGCGGGCCCCCCTCCTCTTTCTCCTTCTCCTCCTCCTCCTCCTCCTCCCCCTCCTCCTCCTCCTCCTCTTCCTCCTTATAGGCGAAGGGGGTCCCCCCTGTGACAGCGCCTCTGATAACCCCGAGAGCCTCTCAACTGGCGGCCCGCTCGCAGACCTGGCAGCTTGGCCTTTGATCCCCCAGCCTGGTCAGTGACCTCCTCCTCCTCCTCCTCCTCCTCGTAAAGTGCAGTGGGCCAGTTGCAATGCTTCCGACCGTTCTCACACTCGTGAGGTGTTGCGGCGAGCATTGGGCGAGCTCTGTCCTCATTCTTGGGACAAGAAGATGGCAGACTGCCGCGAGACAACTGACAAGGCTAAAGGATGATTAGGGCCGCATGACCATGGGTGATCGGGTAGGACATGTTCGCGCTGAGAGTAACATATCCTTCCTCGCTCCCCCCTGCCTCTCCTCGCCCCTCCTTTCTTCTCCTCCTTCCTGCTGCTCCATCTTCTGTGGCGTACGCATCCCAGAGTCCATCGATACCGACGATCTGAGAGTAGACAACCACCTGGCGCAATATTGCTCCGACCTTGACGTCTGCAGCGATTTTGCCTCAAGCAGTTGTGCTTTAAGTTTCGCGGCATCTCGCGGCTCGTCATTTTACGCGCCACAAGGTGGTCCTTCGAGCAGCACAGAGATGGCTGCACTTCCCGAGTTCACGATGGAACAGGTTGCCGCCCACCAGAGTGACGACGACATGTGGATCGTGGTGGACGGGAATGTGTACGACGTCACCAAATTCAAGCGGGCTCACCCGGGCGGCGCTGGAGTGCTGAAGATCTATGCGGGCAAGGACTGCTCGCAAGAGTTTTTCGCGATGCACAAGGCCGAGGTCCTGGAGAAGTGGGGTCGGAAATTGATCAAGGGCACCGTCGCTGGCGCGCAGGCAGGAGCCATGCAGTCGACAGCCAACGCTCACCACATCGATGTGACCCCATACAGCGAGCCGTCGTTCTGGATGGGCTGGCAGTCGCCTTACTACAACGAGAGTCACACTACCTTTCGCCTGAAGCTCCGTGCTTTCGTCCGAGACGTCCTGAGGCCGGACGCCGTCGAGGGCGAGGACACCGGGGACTACCCGACGGCAGAGCTCTACCGGGCCATGGGCACGAGCGGGCTCCTGGCAGCGCGCATCGGGAAGGCCGTGATGCCCTTCCTCGGCATGATCCCGGGCATCGAGCTGGAGGCCACCCTGGGGGTGAAGCCGTCAGAGTTCGATCACTTCCACGAGCAGATCGCCCACGAGGAGATGGGCCGCGGGCTGGGGCAAGCGCCGGGATTCAACGACGGGCTCGGCGCGGGCTTCTGCATCGGGCTACCCCCCGTGCTGCACTTCGCGCCGGCGCACATTCGCGACAAGGTAGTGCCAGAGGTGCTCCGTGGTGACAAGAGGATCTGCCTGGCGATCAGCGAGCCCGCTGCTGGCAGCGACGTCGCCGGCATGCTGACGACTGCTACCAAGACGGCAGACGGTAAGCACTACATCGTGAATGGGGTGAAGAAGTGGATCACGAACGGCATGTTCGCGGACTATTTCGTCACCGCTGTGCGAACTGGGTCGGGGAGGAACGGCATCAGCATGCTCTTCATCTCGCGAGACATGGGCGTAGAGACCAAGGCTATCAAGACTACCTACTCTGGCAGCGCCGGCACGGCACTGGTCATCCTGGACGATGTCAAAGTGCCGGTGGAGAATCTGATGGGCTTAGGGAACCGTGGCAAGGAGGGCCAGGGCTTCGCCTGCATCATGTACAACTTCAACCACGAGCGCTGGTTCTCGGACGGCACTGGCCGTGGACCGATCCCGATCCGTGCCAGGCCAATCCTGGGCGCAGGATGGGCGCCACCAGGATTCAGTCGGGCGTGTCCCTCTAGAGGCGGAGCATTCCGAAAGTGGTAAAAGAATAATACGGGGACGATTTGTCTAAGTATTGTTGACCATTTTGGAATCTGTTTGAACTATGTTTCATGTTTCGTCCAACATCCACCTGTAGGGCGACATGCCCGACCTAACGCCAGGAGCGGGGTCCGTGTCCGTCACGGTGGACGGAGACTAGTATGGCATGAAGTGTTCTGCTGTTGGGGGCGGCTGTTAGGAACTACCAATCTGCCATGGGACAGGTGCCCCCGCAGAAGCACATTTCATTCGATGCTGCCATGTCTTCGTGCATGTGGCATCTTCCTAGACTCATCTCCTCCTCCTCCTCCTCCTCCTCCTCCTCCTCTCCATGATCTTGTTACTCCTCCTCCTCCTCCTCCTCCTCCTCCTCCGTCGCCATTTTGGCTCTAGCTGGCTCTTTGCGTTCTGCCCGGTATCGTACCCTTCTTCATTCATTGCAGATGCGTGGCACGGCGACGGTCGATCTTTGGCGCTCCGTGGCAAGTTTGGTGTGCGCCCGTCCGAGTGCAGCACACGTCTTGGCGGCGGCGCTTGGCGCGGCCGTGGGCGACTCCCCCCGCCAGGTCGCTGCGGCGATGGCGGCGGCCGCAGATCCATACCTCCTTCGACGGCTCTCCCGACGCCGTCCACGAGGAGGTCAAGACCAGGCTGGCCATTGTAGAGCCAGCCCTTACTGAGCTGGTCAAGGCAGGCCGTTTCGGAGATCCAGACCTCAGTCATGTTTCGAGGGCGCAGAGCAGAAGCAGGGCGAGGGCTAGGCGGTCGAGGATGCCTGCCTGGAGCTCGAGGTCCCCGGCGTCTTCGCGAAAACCTTGGTGCGAGAGGTGCCTGGGGAGGCCGACGCACAGGCCCAGCCTGGCAATACCACGCACGGGAACAGGGCGATCTCCTCGGCATGGTCGACGACGGGGCCGATGAGATTGCCTCGGTATCGCATCAGCTGATGGCGGCTCGCGCCCAGCTCAACGAGTTGGTGCCGCAGGGCACTCGGCAGCTCGAGCACGTGCTCCTCGAGGCGGCCAGGACGGAGTGCGACCTCAGGAGCTTCCTGGAGCGGCTGCAGAAGTAGTCTGCGGTTCAGATTCCGGCCTGACCAGGCGGTGGGGGCCCGCTATTTCCCCAACATCGCTTGCTTCGGCATCTTGTCGGTGCGCGAGTGCGTGTAGCTAGCGCGAGGGGCACTGAGGCTTCGTATATTCGAGCTCGGGGTGCGGAGGTTCGTGCTCCTTCTGCACCCCGTCTCCCGCCTGCTGTCTGCTCGGCGTCGCGGAGGGTTGTGTTCCTCCTGCGGCCGTGGCGCCAGGCGACTTCGCTCGGGATGCGGAGGCTCGTGTTCCTCATGCGTCCTGCCTGTTGCTCGGTGGCGCGGAGGCTTGTGCTCTTCCTGCGACTCGAGCAGCGCCGCCCTGGTGTTGCGGAGGCTCGTGTTCTTCCAGCACCGCCAGGGGTTCGCGTGGACGGGACAGAGTCCCGATTGGTCACTCCTGGTCACTCCTCCTCCTCCTCCTCCTCCTCCTCGTCCTCCTCGTCTTCCTCAATGCTGGGGTTTCCAGACGTTGCAGAATTGTCAATACCGTTCAATCCTGTTCCGCCCCTCCTCCTGCTCGTCCTCCTCCTCCTCTCGTTCCTCCTCCTCCTCCTCCTCCTCCTCCTCCAGAAAGTTTTCGGGATGTCTACGGATGTGCCCAGAGATCGCTGGAGGTCCCCAGAGGCTTTCGGAGGCCTCTGGAGGTCCGAGAAGGGCCAAGACCATCCCAAAAGGTTCAGTACTCCTGGTACTCCTTGTACTCCTTGTACTCCTCCTCCTCCTCCTCCTCCTCCTCCTCCTCCTCTCGTTCCTCCTCCTCCTCCTCCTCCTCCTCCTCCTTGTACTCCTCCTGAGGCACTGAAGCACCGAAGGCGCTAGAGTCATCCAGACCGCCGCCCTCTCCCCCCGCAGGGCCCGTCGTCCCTGGGGGGATGATCGAACTCATGCCAGGCGATTCCTGGAGCGGTCGCTCCAGGAATCGCCGGACGTGGGGGGCAGAAGCAAAAGAAGTAGACGGTGACAGACAGGCAGGAGGAAGAGGAGGGAGAGGAGGGAGGACCCAAACACCTTGAGGAAGGAGAATCGGTGCTGGCGGCTCTATCGCCGCGTCTGCCTCGGGTGGTAAGGGTCAGCTTGGGTGAGGTTCACGTGGCGAGCAGAAGCGTGGACGGCAAAAACGGCAGCGAAAGCGAGGTGAGAGCAGTGAGCGTCGCAGTGGGAGTGACGTGAGCGGTGAGAGCGGCAGTGAGAGCGGCAGCACGCGTGAGAGTGGTGAGAGCGGCAGTGGGAGCTATGTGAGCCCACCCCTGTTGGGTGCGAGACGGAGCTGCGCCTCTCGGTGCACCAAGGCTGTGTCAGCAGACCCCTCACCTCCACGATGCCACAAACAGTGCAGCGCAAGCTCCTCCTCCTCCTCCTCCTCCTCCTCCTCCTCTTTAGCCATTGTGGCTCAAGCGGGTTTTGCTGTATTGCCCTGTGCTGCATGTTTGCCTTTTCCGATGTCTTCGCTTCTGGCCTCCTGCTCCTTCTGCTCCTCCTGATCCTCTCGCTCCTCATCGTCGTCGTCGTCGTCCTCCTTCTCCTCTTCCTCCTCCTCCTCCTCCTCCTCCTCCTCCTCCTCCTCCTCCTCCCCTTCCTAGGTTCATCGTGGCTCAGTTCCTCGCGAGCTGCAGGCTGTGCATCGCGGACTGCTTCAAGTGGGCCACACAGCGCATGGCCTTTGGCAAGCCGCTGATCGAGCAACCCGTCCTCCGGCAGAAGCTCGCGAGGATGGCAGGCGCCGTCGGGAGCTCGCTTTTCCCTCCCTTTCTTCCTTCTTTCCCCTCCCTCCTCTTCCCTCCTCCTCCCTCCTCCCTCCTCCTCCTTCTCCTTCTCCTCCTCCTACCTTTCCTCCTCCTCTTCCTCTTCCTCCGAAACCTTTCGATCGTCACTGGCGCCCCTCCTCTCCCTCTTATCTTCCCTCCAACCCTCTCCCTGGTAAAGAATTCCCCCGTGTCGCACCCCCAGACGTGCTGGTAGGGCTGACCAGGCCTTTCGCCTAAGAGTTCGTCGCCATTGGTGATCCCCACGCTGCTCCTGATCTGCAGCGGTCTCAATGCCAGAGGGGGGGCCCTGGGCAACATGTGGCTCTCGCCCGAGCGCCGCGCACACTCGTCTTACAATTCAGCTTCGGCTTCAAGGACGGAGGGCGGTTTCTTTTCAAACTCTGGCTCTCGCCCTAGCGCCGCGCGCCTTCATGTTCAAAGCTTGCAGCCGGTTCGAGGGCTCGTAAGGCTGGCAGGGTTGGCAGGTTTCAGCAGTCACGTTGATTCGTGGGCTGGAAGTCCCAGTAATGGTGTCTTGGCACGGTTGAGGGTTGCCAGGACGCAGCAGTCATTTTGATTCGCGGTGTTGAAGTCCCGGGAATGGTATTTTATCACAGCTGAGGATTGTCAGGACGCAACGGTCACTTTGACCCGCGGCGTTGATGTCCCAGGAAAGGTGTTTTGGCACGACGATCGAGGATTCTCAGGCGGTTGTCGTTCAACGGGGCCTTCCCGCGAAGACCATACGCTCTTACAGGGGCCTGCGAAGAGGGCATTTTGCGGAGGGTTTAATGCAACATTGTCCATGCGTGCCAGGGCGCGCACCAGGGGGCGCGCCATGGAACGTGCCACGTGACGAACCATGGGGTGGCTCACTTTGCTCCGCAAGTCTTCATGCTGGCTCCGCGCTCACAGAACCACGACCCCTAGTAGATAATTTGAATGGGCTTGCGCTCTCTCTCATATGGCAGGCTGCGCGTGGACTGTACACTGTGCAAGTTTGCGCGTAAACAGTATCAAGCAGATGGGCGCACGTAACCAATATGTGCAATATAAGCGGGAGGCGTAGACGGCAGCATAGACATCGCTTGAGCATAACGGCGCGCCCGCTTTCCCAGGGCCACAGCCCCTCACCAATTACACTGCGTCCGCGCTCCCAGGGCCACGATCCCTAGTGCATTTACCGCGTCTGCGCTCCCAGGGCCACGATCCATCGCACACTGCATTGCGACCGTGGCCCCAAGACCACAATCTCTCGTGCACGACGCTGCGTCCGCGCTCCCAGGGCGAAGTTGATAAGTAAGTGACCTTTGCGCCCGCGCTCTCATGGCTTCTTTACTTTCCGCAAATATGCTGCCAGGGGGCGCGCAACGGGACGCGCAAAGGAACGTGCCAGGGGGGCATGCTAAGCGACGTCATGTCACGGGGCGCGCCCATGAGTGCGCCAGGGGACGCGGCAAGGGACGCGACAGAGGACGCGCCATTGAACGGGCAGAGGAAGCGGCAGAGGACGAGCTAGGGAACGCGCCAGCGCGGGGGAACGTGCCAATTGACGCGCCAGCTGACGTGCAAGGGGACGCGGCAGTGGACGCGCCACGGGACGTGCCAAGGAAACCGTCAGGCGATGCGCCAGGGAACTTCCCCAGGAACGTGCCATGGGACGCGCCCACAGACCGCGTCAGGGGACGAGCCGCAGACGCGCCGGGGGGCGCACGAGCCAGAGGGCGCGCCGAGCCAGGGGGCGCGCCGAGGGGCGCGTCAGGGGACGCGTCGCGGAACGCACCAGTGGACGAGCCACTTTGTTCTGTAAGTTTTCTGCGTTGGATCCACACCCCCAGGGCCGCGATCTCGGGGGGCGCGTCGCCCAACGACCCCTTGGACATCATTTCCGTGGGCTCGCGCTCTCGTATAGCGGGCTGCGCGTGGACCGAGCGTTGTGCGAGTCTGCGCGAAAACGGTACAAAGCAGATGTGCGCGCGTAGCCAGTATTATAATGGCCTTCGGCTTATCCCGCCGCCGTGCCTGGGCTGTGGGCGCAAAGGCTATTGGATGCTCGTTGGGGTCTCTCGGGGGCCTCTTTGGGGGGAGTTTTGGGGCCTTTGCGGGGCCGTTTCGGGGCATCTTGGGGATTCTTTTGGGCATGTCAGGGGCTTCTTGGGGCCTCTTGGGGGCCTCTTGACGGCCTCTTGGGGCCGCTCGGGCACTTCTTGGGGCCTCCTGGGGGCTTCTTTGGGCGGAAGGCTGGGATTTTCGGTTCGCCTCCTCTCTCGGGCTCCTTTTGGGGCTGTCTTTGGGCCCTCTTGGGTCGTGTTGGGCGCCTCTTGGGCCGTCTTGGAGGCCTCTTGGGCGGTGTTGGGGTGGTTGTCGGGGCCTCTCGGGCCGTGTTGGAGCGTCGGGGAGCCAAAGGTGGGAGAGCGCTCGAATCTTGCAATGCCTAAGGACAATCAGTGACTTTCTCTTCTCGGGGTCTTTTTGGGATGGCTCTTGATGCCGTTGTGAGGCCATCGTGGGCGTGCCGTGCCAATCTTTGGGCGTCTCGGGGCCCTCTTGGGCCGCCTCGGGGGCCGCGCGGGGCCCTCTCGGCCCGTCGCGGGGCCCTTTTGGGCCCGAAGAAGTCATGCGACGAGATGCCGGCGCCCCAGGGGGCGCGCGAGAGGCCCCACGGGATTTGGGATTTGGAGGCCCTGCCCCCTCAAGGACTTTTCCTCAGGGCCGTGGACTGAGGCTCCAGGGATTAGGCAAAGGACCAGGGCTGGACCTAAATGGTGTTTTTGGCGATTTCGTGGGCCGTTCTCGTCTCGACTTCGTTTTGCGGTAAAGGCGGATCCGAGACAAACGCGAGGGACAACGAAGACAAAACGAAAACGAACAACACCGTTTAGGTTCAGCCCTGGCAAAGGGCCCGAGGACGCGCCCACTCCGCGCGCAGAGGCACGGTGGCGGATGCACAAGATGGGGTGGTGGTGGCAAGCGGAACCCTGGACATTGATTCTCCGTGAGCGGTGCTTCCGTGCTCCCAGGGCCACAGCCCCTCATGAATTACACTGCGTCCGCGCTCCCGGGGCCACGATCCCTGGTGCATTTGCTGCGCCTGCGCTCCCAGGGCCACGATCCATCGCGCATTGCATCGCGACCGTGGCCCGCGGCCCCGCGACCGCGATCCCTTGAGCATTGCACTGCGTCCGGGCTCCCAGGGCCAAGTTAATGAGTATTTTGCCTTTGCGCCCAGGCTCTCATGGTCACTATCGCCTCTGCAAGCGGAATAACGTGCCAGGGGGCGCGCAGCGGGGCGCGCGAAGGAGCGCGCCAGGGGTGTGCCCCAGGCGACGTCATGCCACGGAGCGCGCCGACGGGCGCGCCGGGGGACGCGGCAAGGGGCGCGACAGGGGGCGCGCCGCTGAAAGGCGCCAGACGATGAGCCAGGGGGCGCGCCAGCGCCAGGGAACGCGCCAAGGGGCGCGCAAGCAATCGCGCCAGGGGTCGCGGCAGTGGACGCGCCGGAAGGGTAGCGCCAGGCGACGCGGCCAGGGAAACTCTTAGGAAACGCGCCATGGGACGCGCCGCGGACCGCGTCACGCGACGAGCCGCAGACGTGCTTGGGGACGCGCGAGCCAAGGGGCGCGTCGCGGAACGTACCAGTGGACCAGCCACTTTGTTCGGTAAGTTTTCTTCGTTGGCTCCGCGCCCCCAGGGCCGCGACCCAACGGGGCGCGCCGTGGAACGTCTCCGGTGGCGAGCCGCAGATGTGTTGCGCGACGCGCGGGCCAAGGGGCGCGCCCAAGAACGCGTCGGGGAACGCGTCGAGGAACGCGCTAGGTGACGAGCCACCTCGCTTTGTAAGTCTTCTCTGTTGGATCCGCGCTCCCAGGGCCAAGATTATCCCGAATTCACGGGGTCCGCGCTTCGCTAGTCGCATCTCTGGCGCGCGACCCTGGCGCCGGCATCGCTTGCATATTGCATCGGTTTCGCGCTCCCAGCGCCGTAATATTTTCTCTCATCGCGGCGCGGCAGGGGCAATCCGCGCTCGCTCTAGCGGCCCAGGCGAAGCGCGCCAGTGGTCTGGCAGAAAGGGAGGGGGGCGGGGGGCAACGGGCGGCCACAGAGGGCGGGCGAGGGAGGGGGGCGCTCGCCGCGCGACGAGCGTCGGCAGGAGTGGCCCGCGCGGCCGGCCATTGCTGAGACCCCCTGGCAGTGGGCGCGGAGCGGCGCCGCGGCCGCGCTCAGGGGCTGAGGCAAGAGCTGCAGGCGCCGAAAGCGCAGTGCATGTCGAACCAGTGCGGAGGCAGAGCGGCGAGCGAGCCCGCCGGGGCGGGCGGCGTCCAAGTATCCGCCTTATAGGGCCGCGCGTCGCAAGGTTTGCTGCGGCGCGGCGGCAGCGCGGCGCGCGAAGGCCAGCGGCCGCGGGGGCTGGCCAGCGACTCGCTCGCAGCAGCAACGCTGGGCGGCGGCGGGCCGCGCTGCAGCGCTGCTGGCCGCAGAGCCACTGAGGGCAATTGCCGCGGGCAGCCGCGCAGGGCGACAGCAGAAGTGTCGCGGGCGGCGACGGGGGCGCAGTCCGCCGCCAGACACGCTCGGGCAGCGGCGGCCCGAACCCAGCCGGCGCGCGCGTCGCCGCCGGGCGCGGCGGGAACGCCCAGCAGCCACGGGTCTGGCGTGGCGGGGGCGCCTGGCCGCAGGAGCAGCGGGGCAGGGGCGGGGGGCGGCGGCCAGCCTGGCCGGCGCAGGCAGCGCGGCCGGCGGGCCGCCGTCGGCCCGGCCAGCGCGCGCAGCCAGCCGAGTGGCGCGAGGGCGCCCCGCCGCGGAGCTGGCGGCGGGGGCGCCCAGCTGTCGGAGCAGCGGGCAAAGGGGGAATACACGTGCCCCGGCTAGGCCAGAAAAGCTGGGGGAGGGAGATCGATGTCGAGGAGGGAAATAGGAAAGGCAGACGCAACCGGGGGCTCCAGCGCGGCCCCGACGCCCAGGTCCAGGCGAT